GTTCTAACTTGACGCATTTCTGATGAACGGTTTTTGAGTTATTGCCCCTGACTTTGTTAAAACGTGTTGAAATTTGTTAAAAATAGTTTGTGAGCAGGATTGACGCTACAGTTTTCAACCGATTCTGATGAAACTTGGTGTGATCATTGAAATTGATAAGATCTCGGACAAGTTCTAATTTGACGCATTTTCAATGAACGGTTTTTGAGTTATTGCCCTTGACTTTGTAAAAACGCGTCAATATTTGTTAAAAATAGTTCTTGCGCAGGATTGAAGCTACAGTTTTCAACCGATTCTGATGAAACTTGGTGTGATCATTGGAATTGATAAGATCTCGGACAAGTTCTAACTTGACACATTTTTGATGAACGGTTTTCGAGTTATTGCCCTTGACTTTGTAAAAACGCGTCAAAATTTGTTCGTGAGCACAATAGAAGCTACAGTTTTCAACCGATTCTGATGAAACTTGGTGTCATCATTGAAATTGATAAGATCTCGGACAAGTTCTAACTTGACGCATTTTCGATGAAATGTTTTTGAGTTAATGCCATTAACTTACGAAAAATGCGTCAAAATTTGTATGTGAGCACAATAGAAGCTACAGTTTTCAACCAATTCTGATGAAACTTGGTGTGATCATTGGAATTGATAAGATCTCGGACAAGTTCCAAAGAGAGATATTTTTGATGAACATTTTTTAAGTTATTGCCCTTGACTTTGTAAACACGCGTCAAAAGTTGTTTTTTGCCCTTGATTAGAGCTGTGTGATTTAATTGTTTGTTGTATTTGGGTTATTGATATTGATTTTTAAAAATTTTGTGGAATTATTCAGCATAAATAATTTCTTCAATATGAGAAAATTCGTACTTTAGTCACTAAAGACTGTTTTATTATTTCTGACAGCTGCCAGTGGGCGTATGTTACCTTGCAACGCAAGCTATCTTGTAGAATATCTGAGGAAACATCTAAGACATGAAAAAATAATTTCTGTTTTTTTTTTTAACTTTGACGAAATTCTGTGTTGAATCGTTATATGCACGAAAATAGGTTGCACACCCTCAACCTAATCATAAGAAATGCCACAAATGAAACTTATGTATTTAAAACTGTTGCAAACCCCACCCCTTTCATGCTTTCGGCGCCTACGGGGTTCTCAGCTGTTACGCTCTTGCATCGCTTCGCGACGCTCGCTTATCGCACCTCTGGTGCTCACATAATATACATTTAAATAGCCACCTACTTTTAAAACGGTTGCAAACCCTCAACCTAACCCTAAGAAATGTCACAAATGGAACTTATGTATTTAAAACAGTTGCAAACCCCCAACCTAACCCTGCCACAAATGGAACTTATGAAATTAAAACTGTTGCAAACCCCACCCCCTTCATGCTTCCGGCTACTACGGCGTCTCCATCTGTTACGCTCTTGCATCGCTTTAAAACTGTTGCAAACCCCACGCCTTCAAGCTTCTGGTGCTTACGGCGTCTCTCCAGCTGTTACGCTCTTGTATCGCTTTGCAACGCTCGCTTATCTCACCTACATTCAGATAGCCACCAACTTTTAAAACTGTTGCAAACCCTCAACCTAACCCTAAGAAATGTCACAAATGGAACTCAAATGGTATTTAAAACTGTTGCAAACCCCACCCCCTTCATGCTTCCGGCAACTTCAGCTGTTACGCTCTCGCGGTGCTCTCATAACCATTCCTCGACACTTAAAAAGGATAATATTTCGAAAACCGGTTCGTGTTAATTGCGTAAGTTTTTGTTTTACTTGTTATAATTTTTTACGTCATTGTTAGCGTTATTTATCACCTAAATATATATTTTTGAATTTTTATACGCCCACATGAATATGTGGTCGTATACTGTCGTCGCCCCTGTCCGACGGTCCGTCCGTCAACATTTCTTGTGAGCACTATAGAGACTAGTTTTTATCTGATTTTGATAAAACTTGGTGTGATGCTTTAGATTGATAAGATCTCGGTCAAGTTCGAATTTGACATATTTTCGATGAAAGGTTTTTGAGATATTACCCTTGACTTAGAACGCCTTGAAATTTGTTAAAAATTGTTCGTGAGCAGGATTGAAGCTACAGTTTTCATCCGATTCTGATGAAACTTGGTGTGATCATTGGAATTCATAAGATCTCTGACAAGTTCTAACTTGACACATTTTCGATGAACGGTTTTTGAGTTATTGCCCTTGACTTTGTTAAAATGCGTCGAAATTTGTTAAAAATAGTTTGTGAGCAGGATTGACGCTACAGTTTTCAACCGATTCTGATGAAACTTGTTGTGATCATTGGAATTGATAAGATCTCGGACAAGTTCTAACTTGATGCATTTTTGATGAACGGTTTTCGAGTTATTGCCCTTGACTTTGTAAAAACGCGTCAAAATTTGTTCGTGAGCACAATAGAAGCTACAGTTTCCAACCGATTCTGATGAAACTTGGTGTCATC